CTTTCATACTCAAGTTCAGGGCACCTGTGTGGGTCCTTTCATTCATCAAGAGACTGCCAAATGCGGAATGGCTGCTTGAGGGCTCATAGGTCTTGGGATACAACGTCAAAACCGTAAACCCAAAATTCAATCCCCAAAAAACAAAACTCTGAACATTGAACAAACCCTAACGTAAAATCCCCAGGTCCCGGCCGGCTTTGTCTCCAGGGGATATTCTGACCACGAACCGCTGAAGCAACATAGAGCTTGCAAGTCCTCCAACGACCCCACCGAAGCAAAAGAGCTCAGACTCCCACAGACCAACAGAAACCAAAACCAAAAACAGAAAAACGCAGCGAACCCCAATCCCTAATCGGAAGAAGGCCCGCCCCCCTCTTGAGCTTCTCAAGCCCTGTCCTGGGTCACTGCGCCGAAGCTCGACCTGATTGGGCTCAGGAGTTTGGTTTACGGCTTGGGTGTGGGGGCCTTCGGGTTTCCTTGGTTCCTGAGTAGCCCCCTTAATAATAAGGGTACCCTTTTCCTAATACTGTGTTTTAAGAAACAGACCCAAGAATAGAATGGGCAAAAACCCAAAAGTTGGAAACCGGATTGAGGACATGCAAAAACCCTAATTAAACCAACATTGCCTACATCCCCAAAATGCAAAGCCTCCATCCAGAACCCTCAAAACCGAAAACACGAACCCTTTCAACGCCAGCATGCTGCACTGACACCCACAAGCCCAAAACCGTAATAAGCACGTACAATCTCTGCTTTTGTGGACAGAGATCTACATAGGCACGCTGAGCCCGAGAACATCCCAAGTCCGAAACATTAGACGCTAAACCCAAACCTTAAACCCTATATAAATCCAACTCCTAAACCCTGAATCCAAGCTCTACACCCCGAAATCCAACACTCTAGCGTACGCAAATTCTCCAGATTCCACCCTGGCAGCTTGCGGTAAGCTGCGGTGAGCTGATCCCGAAATATCCACAACCGGACCAAGGAACCCCTTCGCAGCCGGCGCCGTGCGAAGCGCGATGGGGCCTCAAGTGTCTCAGGTGGTTCAGGTTTCACAGTTTGGGCGGCATGGAGAATTCAAGCGCTGGGGGTTACGTATTTAGGGGCTTGGGGATTGGTGCACCTTGGTGGATTTAGAGTTGCACGAATTACGGTTGAGAGTTTAGGGCTTTGGGCTTTCAGCTTTGGAAAGGCTTTTGGTTGCCATTGGGTTCCACAAGGTTTCAATAGTAACTGTGACCCGACTACAAGATATGTTGGGGAAGGCGAAAAATGGCGAACATCAGCGCACTAGTCTTCCTTGTCAGGGGCTCCCGACCACAAGGGAACCTGCCTTAGCCATTGTGGGGGTCAAAACAGTTCCTGATACGCATGACATGAGCGCTCAGGGTTCAGGGTGTTTGGATTCCACACTAGGAGTTTGACAAAATGTCTGAAATAAACGCAGGCCTGCTCCGTAGCAACCCTTTCCTTCGGCCCCGAATTAGCAGGGTAAAAGCCAAGCTTTCCCTTAATCATCGGGGTACCGTTTTCCTATTCCTATTCTGCAGTTTTGAGCAGAACACCCAAAATAAACAAGGGAAACATGTGGGTGGTTGTCAAAATTATGGTCCCTTTTTGGGTACCTTGAATATTCGGTGCCGTATTATAATAAGGACCCCAAAGGGGACCCTAATATTGACAACCACCCATGTGTACTACTAGGGAGACCTGAAAAACGGCCCCCCGATGCCTTCTGGAACCCTGAACTCTAATCAACCTATGCCGAAAGTGCCGTAGAAGCTTGTAAATGTCGTCATGGCTACAGTTTCGGTGGTAATCAGAGAGACAAACCCTACCAAAACACGCTACGCACACCATAAAGAATGAAAAATCGTGAATCTAATGTTGTTGGTGCAGAATTGAGAAGTAGTAGACTTAGAAGCCCAGCAGCCTCTGCAGTATATGTGAATCTCAAAACCCTCAACCCTCTTAGAACCCTCATAGGAGCCTTCTAAACAAGCCCGAAACCCACAAAGCCTATCCCTTATCGAATCCTTGAAGGCCACATATTAGAGAATCCTGACACAGAGCCCTTCCCCTACACCTATCTAGGGCTTGGGGCTTACAGAACTTGTCGAAGGCTATCATAGAACTCTACTGAACTTGGAACCCTAGCAAAAATTACAATTTTAGCTGTTTCTTAGGGATTATAATAACCCAAAATTAAAAACTATTTCTAAGTACCCCTAAGAGAACTCCTTCAAACCGCCGGAGCTTCGGGCGACTCCGGGCCGGGCCCCCCCACGCGCGGTCTCGACGGGGCCAGGGGCCACGAAGCACGGGACGGTGTCCATGCTCTCCTGGCTTCGGGGTTTTTGTTTTTTTTTTGTGAGGGCTCTGTTGCGTCTGCACGAGGGTCCGGCCGACGAAAGCCTACTTGAGGCTTTGGGGTTTAGGGTTCCGGGCTAGGGTTTAGGGTGTGCGTCCCTGCGGTTCAGGGGTTTGGGTTCAACGGCAGTTGAGCATTTAGGGCGTAGGGACATTTTTGGGTTCAAGCTTAAGGGCAGCTTCGGGTGCCTTTTTAGGCCCTAGCCTAGGCTCTGGAGTTCAGGAGCTTGGTTTGAGGCTTCAGAGCGAGTTTGCACAAGTTGTTGGGCACTGGGTCTGAGGGTTTAGGGAGCAGTCTAGCAGCATGTCGTGAAAGTGCAGCGTTGTGGGCTCAGTTTCAGGGCTCCGAGCTTTCGGGCGCTGAGGTTTAGCAGTCGAATCAAACTGATGGGAGGCCAAAAGGGGGGTTTAAGATTCTTGGGGTAGGGATTCATTAATATGAACCCTACTATGGGAACCCTAATCCCTACTAAACCCCCATAGGCTAAAACCCTTTTGGCCTCCTATGACAAACTCTGAAACACCAAAAACCGGCTGCTTGAGGTCGCATGCAAACCCTAAAACGCGAACCCTAAACCCTACACGCTAAGGTACGCTTGTCAAGAACGACCTCCTTGTGATCAGCACCTTCCCACAGGCAGTTGCAACAGATCCTTTCCGGAGCAACCCCAGCGGCAAAATAACGACAAGCAACAAGGACTGCTGGCAAACAAGGTGTTGACTCTTAGATGTGGATGTACCGCTGCGTGACACCTCGAGAAAGCACGAAGAAGCCCAACAACGAAATCCAAATGCAAGACGGCAACCCAGAGAGCCCAACACCCCGTAATTAATTAAGGAATATAGCTTACATCGCAGTATATAAGCTAAGGTATTTTCCTTAATTATGGGGTATTGGGCTCTCTGGGAAGAAGGCAAAGTATCGGTTCATGGTTGGGTCACCCCGACCCGTGCCAGCTCGGGGTTTAGGGTGCGGCTTGCTTCGCCGGAGCCTTGCTTGGACTCCACAACTCCCATGCCCGAAAATCCGAGACCCCGGCAATCCGAAGGTTCGTTTTTTTTTTGAGCACCTTCTTCCGTCCGCCTAAGAAGTTTGAGGAATCTGGAAAGGTTGGGGTTTAGGGTTTAGGGTTTTGGGTTTAGGGTTCAGGGTTAGGGTATCGGTATGCCCACCGCCCCTCAAGCCGCAAAACCCCAAAGCCCCACACCTCAAAACACCCAAAGACCCAAAACAACTAAAAGGCACTAAAACCCATACAGACCGCCCCCAACACCTGAGAAACTCCCCTAAACCCTATAAAGCCTCAGCCCTATATAAACCCGAAACCCTACAGAGCCAAAGCCCAAACTAATAAACCCGAAATCCCCACAAAGCCTAAACCCTTAACCCTACTAAGCCCAAAACCCTTTCAAGCCGTAAGTTCTGTACGCCAAACCCTATCAAGGCCCTAAACCCTAAAAACCCTTTAAAAAGCCCTCCATGTGCCTCTTCGTGGGAGATTGGAAACGGAGGCAGGGCGTGGAAAAGCCGAGCTTCAAACGGCAACGCAGTCTTGGGTTCTTCGGATTCCCATGAGGGTTTAGGGTGTAGGGCTTAGAGTCTAGGATTCCGGACAGGGGTTGTGAGGTCTCTTGTGGGCTTTAGAGTCTTCGGGCTTTCAGCCCTAAGTCGACATGAAGTGTTGCAGGCTTGAGGCGTTGATGTTGAGGGTCGAGGGTTTACGGTGTGACGGTCGAGGGGCTTCAGTACGTACAGACATACCTAACTATGTATGTATATGCATGTATGCATGTATGTACACATGCATGCATAGATGGATGGAGGGAGGATGGAGGATGGATCTTGCAGGTCTACGGCACGAGTTCTGAACCTATGGGAAGGCATTCAAACATGTGTTTCCAAGCCAGAAAGATTGACATTAATTTAAGCTGCATTGCAGAAAGTTACGTTCTGCTACATGCCCGTCCCTCGGATGGCTCTCTGCCGTTTTTTCCCGACGTTCACCGATCTGCGAAGCTCCGCCGGGCGCCTGCAAGAAGCCGTGGCTTTGTGTCAGGCTTTAGGGTTTAGGGTTTAGGGTTTGGACTGGTTTAGGGTTTAGGGTTTGGGGTTTGGGTTTAGGGTTTGGGGTTTGGGGTTTGCATGGGTTTAGGGTCTAGGGTTTGGGGTTTGGACTGGTTTAGGGTTTAGGGTTTGGGGTTTGGGTTTAGGGTTTGGGGTTTGGGGTTTGCATGGGTTTAAGGTTTAGGGTTTGGGGTTTGGGGTTTAGGGTTTGGGGTTTGGGGTTTAGGGTTTGGGTTCAGGGTTTGGGGTTTAGGGTTTGGGGCTTTTAACTAGCTTTGGGCGGGCAGCTGGGAAAGGATGGGTTCGAGATGATTAGAGCCGTCATCGTACACTTCTGACTGATTGCCTCTCCATTCCAGGTTGTTTGAAGCCGTAAGTCTGCCCTCAACTCGAGTTTAGGCAAGGTTGCACAGGGTTCAGGATTTGTGGTATCACTTTCTACGTCTATGTGCTGGGCTATCAATGCTCGTCCTCCAAGCGCGGCAAGTGTGTGCCACGAAGCTTCGGGGTGCAAACAGCAGGGCTCTTGTTTTCACTCGTTCGCCTGCTTCGATTGCTGGTCTTACAGCTCTGCGTCGGACACGCCAGCCGAGAAGAGGGTGACTTTCACCCCGATCTGAGGCCACTGCTTGAGCATCTCGACATAGCTCGGCAGAGTGAGCACCTGGCTGGCATGGTCTTTGATGAAGGAGAGACATGCCCTCTCCAGCTGCTTCGCCTGCAAGAGATGCGCCTGGCAGAGGATGCCACAGACCTCCGCAGTGTTGATTGCTTCGGAAAGGGTCGCTTCGCACCACAGCTGAAGCCGTGTGACCCCGTATTTGTGACTGACGGCCAGAAGCGCCTCAATCCGCGATAGCGTGGGGCTGCCGCTCTCTGCCTCGTCGTTGCTTGAGGTCTCGGCCGGAATGAAGTCCTTGACCTCTGGAAAACTATCGGTGTAGAGGAAGTGCAGAAAGGCCTTGAAGATGTCGGCATCGCAGTCCTCGATATTGACGATTTTCGAGACGCTCTCCTGCATGCCTCCCGTCAGCTGCTTCCTGAACACCTCGGATCGCGCACACAGAATCTGGGAGTGCGCCTGGATCACCTCGTCCTGCACCATGAACCTGACGTCGCTGCAGGTGCCCTCCTCCAAGAGCGCCCGTGTGTCCTTGATAATGGTCGGCTCAGGAACCTCTGCAGCAAGGCTCAGGCACTGCTTTGTTGCCTTTCCGTGAAGACGAACTTCGAGCTCGAACTTCACGGTCAGCGTGTCGTTCTGCACCCAATCAGACCGCAGCAGCTCCTCGTGGCTCAGCCCGAAGATGCCCAGAGAAGGAGGAGGATTATTGCTTTCATGCACATCGGGGCCGTACGGTAGCCACGTGTTTCCCGAATGGACGACCTCACATGTCTGGCCCCATTGCACGAACTCCCCGTTCCGGGCCATGACGTAGATGCGATACCGAAGCGCAACACGTTCCTCGCTGCAAAGCATGATGGCGAGAGACCCCCGATACCCCGCACGAAGCAGTTGTACACATGGGCTGTAACGAAATTCGAACATCTGGCCACCAAGCTCAAAGGCCGATGCAGATCTCACCCAATCCCAGCTCCAGACCTCGCCCTGCGCGATGGCACTTGGCACCCAGGAGAAGCCTTCGATTCTCCACAGATACTCGCCCTTGGCCACCCTGTCCCCGAATTTGGCGCTTTCGCCACCTCGTGCCTGCATTACACGGGGCTTTTTGGAAGGGCGCCCAGTTTGAGTTTCGCGTCCAGGCCTTTCACGGTCAATCAAACGTCGTACAGCGATTTCGTTATCGTTGCGGAACATGGCAGCAGAACGCCTGCACCTCAGATCGTGAAGCTCCTGTCGCAGTCTCCGCCGCTCCCTGGCCTGCTCGGTTTCGGCCTGGAGCTGCGGAAACCTGGCCTCCTCGGCTTCCGCCTGCCGCCGTTCGTCCTCGATCGCCGCTCGCAGCTCATCGGCGGACATCGACGTCGCGTCCTCCATGGCGAAAGGCGGCAGGGCCTGTTCCAAAACCTGCCGTCGATTCTATCTGTCTATCGATCCGTCTATCTATCTATCTATCTACCTATCTATCTCTATCTATCTGTCTATCTGTCTCTATCTACATATATTGTTATATATTATATTATATTATATTATATTATCTTATCTTATCTTATATTATCTTATCTTATCTTATATTATATTATATTATATTTTATTATATTATATTATCTTATATTATATTATATTATATTATATTATTTTATTTTATATTATATTATATTATATTATATTATACTATGTTATATTATAAATTATTATATTATATATATATATATATATATATATCATATATATCATATACACGAATAATGGAATTGGCGACTCTGGAGCAACAAGTGTCGAACCTGTCGCCTGCTCCCGCCTGCAAGCAAAAACAGCCCTCCCTAAATATGTAGTACCTAGGTTTAGGGTTTAAAGTTTAGGGTTTAGGGTATAGGGCTCAGGGGTTAGGGTTTCGGGTTTAGTAGCTTGCGCCGCTTGCAATGCCACACCGAGAACTCGTGGATGATCCAGTAAAATGGTGGAGCCTCAGGCATACGTCGCATCTAAAGCCCCTCCCTCAAATCCGGATTCAAGCCTGAAGTACATAATCTTCACAAACACTGCTGAGACTGCATCAACATTCCATGCGACTTTCGCCGTAGCTTCATTATTCCGTTGGCCCCACCACCCACAACTATATACAACGATTACAATCCTACTGCTATTTCAAGATACGTTGCGACTTTGGGTGTCAGCCAAGATCATTTTCGCTGTTTAGGGTTTAGGGTACAGGGCAATAAACTACTCACACGTAGTTCTTTCAATCGTAGGACTCTCGGCACCCAAACGAAGTGCGCCCAGGACAAGAAAAACCCTGCGGCTGATGATATAAATCCTACATTACCTTCATGACCCTAGACTGTGGGAACTGTGGTATAGTGCTTATTATGGGTAATGGAAGATTTATATCCCTAAACCCTATACCGTAAACCCCCTATAGATCCCTCAAAGGAACCCCTTAAAGGTAGAGTTACCCCTATGTCATCAACAGTGCCTCGGTGAACGAGCACGGCCGGCATCGCATCGACTCTCTGCGGCCCCTGGGGAGATGCTCGCGAGGGTGGGTGCAACTTAAATCTTATGGGGCTCTAGGGTTTGGGGTTTAGGGGTTTAGGGGTATAGGGTTTGGGGGTTTACGTATAGGGTTTGGGGTTGGTTTAGGGTTTAGGGGGAGAGGGTTTAGGGGTTTAGGGTTTGGGGTTTAGGGTGCAACTTAAGTCCTATTGGCATAGGATGAAACAGGGACCTAAAAACGCTGGATTTAGGGGCAAAGTGCCCGGCTTATGCATGGGTTGAGGCCTGCGTGGGGTTTGGGAGTCGCAACCCCCATCCTTGAGCTGTAAAGCTTGGACACGCACTTTTTCAACCTCCGGACCCTAGCACAGTTCTCGAGTAACACCAGCCTATTGCAAGGAGGACGGATAACTCCCGGAGTGGGCTTCAGGTTTGGGTGGTGGAGGCGTAGGGTTTAGGGCAAAAAAAGGCTCGGTAAGGGTTTGAGGTTCAGGGTTGGGTCCGGAGTCGAGGGTTCAGGGTCTCTTGCATCCTGGGTGACGTATTTGGGGTCTGCACTGCGCGACACCTCTCGGATCATGAGAGTTCAAGGAGCTGCGAAGTTTAAGTTCAAAGCCTACATAGTTCACGAGTTCGGGCTGGCAGATGCTAGACTTCAAAATGCACGGGATCCCAAAACCCTCAAGCTGGAGCCGTACATCCACCCTGGAGGCACTGTGCTTTGGGGCGGATCGGTTTTTTTGAAGCGACCAAATCAATCCGGACGTCCCGTGCTGAGTCGAAGGGGTCCCGGTTACATACGTCCAACTACCGCGAATTTTCACGGCCGAGGTAGTAGGACTTAGTAGGATTTGAAGTCCACGAGGTTCAAGCTTTCGGGCTGAGTGTCTGGGATTTCAGGTCCGACGCCTTCCCGAGTTCCAGCTTGCAGGCTTTCCCCCAATAGACCCTAAACATCCCTAAACCCTAAACCCATCCAAACCCTAAGCTCTACACCCATCTGAACCCTAAACCCAAATCCCATCCAAGAACCCTAAACTGCCCTAAACCCTGCGCGCCAGCCTTGGGGGGGCTTCGGGGATCCGAGGATTCGGCCTCTGGGATTGAAAGAGGAAGCGCTGAAATCCGGAAGCCCCTCCCAAATCCCTCCATCCCTCCCCTCTCAAAGCCGAAGCGGCACCAGAGACCCAGAAACCAACTCTCCAAGCTGAGCCCCAAAGCCGCCAAAATCTGTAGATTCAGGGTTTAGGGTGTAGGGTGTAGGGGGCCACCCACTGCTCAGAGCCGCTGCATGTATCTCAAAAATTCCCGAAGTCCTTTTCGGCAACTTGCACAACTCCCGGTGTATGGGTGGGGCTTCCCCTGCATAGGCGCAGCCAAGCCACAGATCTCGTGAGCTGCCGTGGGGCACCTGGATCTGAACATGTATGGTTTCTGCAACAATCTGCAACTCGGTGCATCTGGGCCCAAAGGCCCAACATTAAAAGAGAACTTAATAAGGGTTATGGGGCCCACTATACTAGAATTATAGTAAGGAATCCTCAAAATAGTGTTATTAGCAATTATTGAGGCCTCTGTATTACCCGTCGGTGACCCCAAACATCGAGCTCGCCGCTTCTTTCACGTCCGCTTCAGGCCTAGCCGGATGGGCTCGTCTTCGTCTGTCGTCGTAGCACTTTGGCTCGCTCTCAGATCCTTTTATGATCAGAATGTTTCAGACGGGTATAGGCTTTGCTCAGCGTTGTACTTGCTGGCCGTGAGGCACCGTACATCCCCGAAGCCCCCTTGAGTTCAGACTTTGGAGTTTCAAGAGGGCAAACAACTGCCTGATGCGGTAGCCTGCTCCGACTCCTGCTCTTGTGGCTTTTCCAAGCCACCCATGGCCGCCGACAACTCTTCATCCGAAACTCCCGCAGAGACGAGGCTGACCTTCACCCCGATCTGAGGCCACTTCTTGACCAACTCAATGTAGGCAGGTAGGGTGAGCACCTGAGCTGCGTGGTCCTTGATGAAAGAGAGACATGACTTCTCCAGCTGCTTCGCCTGCAAGAGATGTGCTTGGAGGAGGATTTCGCAAACCTGCGAGGTGTCTACTTGTTCGGAAAGCTTCGCCTCACACCACAGCTGTAGCCGCGTGACCCCGTATTTGTTACTCACCGCCAAAAGCGCCTGAATCCCCGACAACTGACGGCCGCCGCTCTCTGTCTCGTTGTCGCTTGAGGTTGCCTTCGGAAGGCACCACCGCGCATCTGGCAACCGATCAGTGTAGAGAAACTGCAGGAAAGCCTTGAAGATGTCGGCATCGCAGTCCTCGATCACGATGACTTTCGAGATGCTCTCCTGCATGCCTGTGGTGAGTTGTTTGCGGAACACCTCGGACCTCGCACACAGAATCTGGGAGTGCGCGTGGATCACCTCGTCCTGCACCATGAGCTTGACATCGCTGCAGGTGCCCTCCTCCAAGAGCGCCTGCGTATCATCGAGGATGGTCGGCTCGGGAACCTCCGAAGAAAGGCTCAAGCGCTGCTTTGTTTCGACTTTGTCAGGACGAACTTCGAGCTCGAACTTCACAGTCAGGGTGTCGTTCTGCACCCAATCGGACCGCAGCAGCTCCTCGTGGCTCAGCCCGAAGATGCCCAGCGACGCAGGAGGATGACCCGCCCAGTGCACATCGGGGCCACACGCATGCCACGTGCCATCGTGGATGACATTCTGCGTTTCGCCCCATTGCACAAATTCACCGCTCCGGCCCTTGACAGAGATGCGACACCGAAGTGCGATGCATTCGTCATACCTTGTGCTCAGAGCTATGGCGAGAGACCCTTTCCGCTGGTCACCTATGTAGCTGGCCCATGGGCTGTAACGACAGTCGAATCTCACGTTTCCAAGCTCAAAGCTCGACTCCACAAAGTGAAGAGTCGAGCCATCCCTGAGTGAATCCTGCTCGAGTGCACATGGCACCCAGGAAAAGCCCTCGATTCTCCACACATGCTCGCCCGTAGAGATCATGTCGCGAAAGTTGCTGCTTTCCCCACCACTTGCTTGAACGGCACATTGCCTTTTTGGATTTCTTGGTGGACGAACAACTCTGTTGAACACAACGTCACCGTCAAAGGCCTCTCGAAAATCGATTTCCACTGCATTGCGCTCCTGTGCGTCCATCCGCCTCTCTATCATGTCCTGCAGCTGTAGCCGCAGCATCTGCCGCTCCCTGGCCTGCTCGGCCTCGGCGTGGAGCTCTGGAAGCCTCGCCTCCTCCGCTTCCGCCTGCCGCCGTTCGTCCTCGATCGCCGCTCGCAGCTCCTCGGCGGACATCGACGAAACGTCCATGGCAGGCCACGGCAACCCCGAGGCCCTCGGACCTCGAAGCTGGAGACAGAACTGGCTGCTGCGAAGCGATGGGATGACGAACCAAAAATCCTATTCCCTCTGATCCCTGGTACCAACACGACGACCGCGACCGCAAGCACGAAGACATGGCCCCTTTCCTTCAGTCTCAGGACATCTTGGTCAGTTGATCAAAGAAGACTCCAAAGCATCTCCCCGCCCTGAACCCTGTAAGCACTGTCAAACCCCGTAATATACACATCTATACGCGCTCTTTGCCTTTTAAAACCTATGAACCCCGCAACCTTGTAAACCTTCAAATCCATGGACCCTAGAAACCTTCTAAACTAATTACAAAGCCCTACAGCCTGTGTAGCCCCCATAAACCCAGAACCCCCTTTTGAACCCCTAAACCCCGGGGCAAAAGTCACACTGACTGCACCTCCGGGTACATTCAGTTTCGACCGCGACTCAAGCGTCCTGCGTCTCAACGGCTGGGAGTTCCAATGCATGGTTTACGGCTTGGCGTGTAGGGTTCAAGTACTTGTGGTTCAGGGTGTATGGCTTCTAGGTTATCTGAGGTTCTGTCGGGCAGTTGTCCATCACTCCTGCGGCTTGAGGCAAGGTGACACTGAACTTCGAGACGTGCAGAAGGAGTTTGCGTCTTGCACTGAGCCCACGAAAAGCTCCAGGCCGAAACTGCTTAAAGCAAACTCAGTAGTTTCGATAGACCAACGGAGACTTTTTACAGCAAACCGTTAAAAAAGACTGCTGTTCAAAACTCAGTCTGCTCCTGTTACCTCACACAATCGCGTTTTTTATGAAAAGCCAAGAAAAGGCATGATTCTGTGAGTTCGCAAACTTGTGGCTAACTAGCAAGCGCAGGTCAAAGTACTCAAAGGCTGATTAGTAGCTCCCGTCTCTCATAATTCCGTCGGATTATGACTAAAAGTCAGGAACCTCTTACCAATGTTATCTGCTGCCGTTTGGACTTGAGCGAGCCTTTTGTTCCTACGGCTAGTTGCGAGCACAGGCCACCCTCCGCGGCCATAAGCATATGCACACAGTTCTTTCATGAAAGCGGCAGATTGGCGCAGTAGATTATCCCTAAAACCTCAATCCTTTCACCATCCCCAGCCACCACAAAACGCCCCCATACTATAGTACCCTTATAGTAACCCTTATAGTAACCAAATGAATATAACAACGAACCGTCCGACGCACCACCCGGCCTACCGGAAACGCCGGGGGCTGTGAAAGTGCCTGGTCCGCCGGGGAACCGACTCGCACAACCCTGACGGTTTAGGGTTTAGGGTTTAGAACCCTGAACTTCCCCCAAAATGCAGAGGCGCAAGCCGCTCTAGGGTTAGGTAGTATTGTTAGGGAGACCCCTTAAAGGGTACCCCTTCTGAACCCTACTTCTGGCTCTCTTAAAAGGGACCCTAACTCGCAAGGGTTTAATATAGGGGCCTAAACAATTACCCATACTATCAATTCTGGGCGTTCCGTGTTATATCTCTAGTATAACAGGCTCCGAAACCTTATTCTAAAAGGGTTTAGCACAAGGCCGGATTTCGAGTATGGGCTTGGGGCCGGCTTGGGGATTTAGCCTTCGCAACCCTGACCCTTGAGATCCGAGCCTTCCCCCTTCCAACCAAGCTTGAGCTCCCCATCCCAAACTCTGGAGCCTTGCCCTGAAAATGTTGCCGACTACTCTGCTATGCAAGTCAGAAAGCCGAGATTACTGCCGGATGTATCGAATGTATATGAATACTCACTGAATACTCAGAAAGCCGTGGTCCGAAACTCGGATATCGTAGCGCAAAACTTCATGAAGCATGCAACCCCCCAGAGAACCCAATACCCCTTAATGAAGGAATATACCTTAAATTATAGAGGCCTTAATACTATGATCTAAGGTATATTCCCTAATTAAGGGGTATTGGGATCTCTGGGCCCAGGAAATTTGACATCCGGAAATTAAAGTTTGTTTTGAACAAGGACTCCCTGTAGTGAAGATGTCTATTGTTACAAATATAGCTTTTCCGCACAAGGACCCTATTGTAGGATAATCCCAATACGAGGTCTGGGTTGGGTCTGCAGGGAGTTTGGACCGGAGTCGACGACTTCTGTGCCTTAGAAGGTCTACTGTAATTTGGCGCAATCAGGATTTTCGAACACTTTCGGATGCCTGAGGAGTGTCGGGAGTTGTGAGTCTGTGCTGCTAGACCACGAACCCTGCGTGGAAAGGCCTGGCACAAAACTACCTTCAAACCGTATAAATCCAGAGGCATTGCGAAGCCCCTGAAGCGGAAGCCCTGCATCTGCGCTGGCAGCATTGCGGGTTGGATAGGCTCGAAAGTAACCGGAGCCCGATGTTCCGTTCTGCGTCGAACGCCTGCTGGGTCACCTTAACGCTTAACCTAGGCCTAGCGACTCAACTGTGGGGTTTCAGGAGTTGAGGAGTTGAGGATATTTGCAGTCTACATGTCTTCTGTTATCGGATTGACCGTCTCGTCAGGGTCCTTTAGGGCTTTCGGGCCTTTGGGTTTTGGGGGTGCAATTTAAATAACGTGTCTCCCTTTCACTCGAAACCAAGGACACACTACTTGCAGTCGTAAAGATCCCTCCTCCTGAAGCTAACTCAGACGCCCGACCCCGGTTTAGGGTTTAGGGTTGCGTTTAGATGGGTTTAGAAAGCCTTTAAGAAAGGATCGCCTGCCCCACCGTGACAGGTCCACCCACCCACACCCCCTTCCTTCGCTCACATGTTTCGGCCTTACAAAACACCGGACTCCCCCTAAACCCTTAGCCCTAAATCCTAAACTCTAAACCCTTAACCCTAAACCCTAAACCCAACCCAAAACCCTAAACCCTTAACCCTAAACCCTAAACCCTATACCCTAAACCCTTATACCATGAACCCTCATGTAACCCTTAACCCTAAACCCTTCTTCCCAACGTGACAGCAGCCGAGTCGCAGGTCTCGAGCAGCCGCAAGGCACCTGGACAAAGCAGCGGTTTGGGGTTTAGGGCTTATAGGGTTTAGGGTTTAGGGGTTTAGGGTTTAGGGTTTAGGGTTTATAGGGGTTTAGGGTTTAGGGGTTTAGGGTTTAGGGTTTAGGGTTTAAGGGTTTAGGGTTTAGGGGTTTAGGGGTTTAGGGTTTAAGGGTTTAGGGTTTAGGGTTTAGGGGTACTCCCAGGAAATCGACTCGTCCAACGAGGTGATGGGCAGCCGGGAATCCGGAAAGCAACTCCAGAAACATATAGTGCTTGGGTTTGAATTTGGGGAACCCTAAACCCTAAACCCCCAGGCCCCAGACCCCAAAGGTCTGCGACGACGCAGAGAATGTGTCAAGGCATCACTGTCTGGTTCTGAGTAGGGAATGGTTTGGGGGACTATGATTGAGGGTTCTACAGTCGAGCTCGCTGCCTTCTTTTCACATCAGCTTCAGGCCTGGTCGACCCTCCGCTTGTCTTTCGTCGCGGCGCTTTTGGCTCGGATTGAAATCTCAATGGTTTAGGGCTTTAGGGGTTTAGGGTTTAGGGATTTATAGCTCCCAGATTGCAGATAATGGCTGTCTAGGCTGTGCTTAGCTTGGTACGTGCCGGCCGTGAGGCGCCGTACGGTCCCTAAGCACCTTGAGCTCGTCCTGCAGAGCAGCTAACCCGTGCTGCCTGACGCGGTCGCCTGCTCCTGCTCCGATTCCTGCCGTTGGGGCTTTTCAAGCTTTTCCAAACAAGCCATCGCTGCCGACAACTCTGTGCCCGAAACTCCCGCCGCGAAGAGGCTGACCTTCAATCCGATCTGAGGCCACTTCTTGACCAAATCAGTGTACGCCGGCAGTGTGAGCACCTGAGCTGCGTGGTTCTTGATAAAAGAGAGACATGACTTCTCCAGCTGCTTCGCCTGCAAGAGATGTGCTTGTCCGAGAAGGCCACAAACCTGTGAGGTATCGACTTGTTCGGAAAGCTTCGCCTCACACCACAGCTGAAGCCGTGTGACCCCGTATTTGTGACTGACGGCCAGAAACGCCTGAATCCGCGACAGCTGGGGAAACCCGCTCACTGGCTCAGTCGGAAGGATCTCCTGGACATCTGGCAACCGGTCCGTGTAAAGGAACTGCAGAAACGTCTTGAAGGTGCTGACATCGCAGTCCTCGATCTTGACGATTTTCGAGACGCTCTCCTGCCAGCCTGCCGTCAGCTGCTTCCTGAACACCTCGGACCTTGCACACAGCACTTGCGAGTGCGCCTGGATCACCTCGTCCTGCACCATGAAGCTGACATCGCTGCATGTGCCCTCCTCCAAGAGCGCCCGTGTGTCCTCGAGGATGGTCGGCTCAGGAACCTCTGCAGCAAGGCTCAAGCGCTGCGTTGTTGCGTATTCGTTAGGACGAACTTCGAGCTCGAACTTCAAAGTCAGCGTGTCGTTCTCCACCCATTCGGACTGCAGCAGCTCCTCATGGCTCAGCCCGAAGATGCCGACTGAAGCGGGAGGATCATCTGGCCAATGGACATCAGGACCATATACACCCAACGGGTGTCTGTTGCCGTGGTGGACGACATTACACGTTTCGCCCCACTGCACGAACTGTCCGCCTCGGGCCCTGACAAAGATGCGATAACGAAGAGCAACATTTTCCTGCGTGTCCAGCACTATGGCGAGCGACCCGTGGTGCTGCTGAGAAAGGTGGTGCAACTCGTGTGCCCAGGGGCTGTAGCGAAAGAGGAATTCCTGGTTTCCAAGTTCAAAGTGCGAGTTCACAAAGGGAGCACTCACAGGAACCCAACCGCCAGCTGTTGCATGTGCAGCAGCCATCTTCTGCTCGAGCGCGCATGGCACCCAGGAAAACCCCTCCATTCTCCACACGTATTCGCCCTTAGCCACCATGCCGTCGAATTTGGCGCTCTCGCCACCACTTGCCTGCATCACAAGTTTCGTTGAGGTCCGCATGCAAGGCTGACCTCCCCACCCCGCTTTATCCTCGTCAATCAGGCCTCGCAGCTCGATCGCGCTGTCATTCCGAACCTCTGCACTTTCCCTCCTGCTTCTCATCTGAGACAACTCGTCCCTCAGTCTCTGACGCTCAAAGGCCTGTTCAACCTCGTTGTCCAGCTCCGCAAACCTGGCCTCTGCGGCTTCCGTGCGTCGCCGTTCTTCCTCGATGGCGGCCTGCAGCGCCTCGGCGGACATCGACCTCGGGTCCTCCATCGGGTCCTCCATGGCAACGGGCGACGTGACGAAGCCCAGGCTTTTGACCCTCTGGAGACGAAACTGGCGGCTGGGACGCGACGTAAAGACGACGACTGCCTCTCCGACCTCGACTTTCGATCGGCAAACAGTAAAGAGACCCCCGTAAACGCCGAAACATGCGCTGGCAGGGACGGTGCTTATTGCAGGTTGCCTTTCGCCTTTAAGGGTTCGGGCTTGGCATTGTAAGGCTTTCAGGTTTAGGGCAGTTTAGTATGCGGCTCTACTAGGATCAGTTTCAAGTTCGAGCCCTAGCATGTTGATGATTTCCTCCCCATGTCTTCAATGAGCTCAGGTGCAAAAGACAAAAGAGGGTGATAAAGCAGTGACTTTGGGGAACAAGGCCGTTAATTGGTGCTCTGGAAATTGCGGAAGGTGTTTTCAGGGCGAATGATTGGAGATTCCTGCACCTGCATGAACATTACGAAGTCGTGCCGGCGGGACGTGAGGCGTCGCCGTTTCAGCAAGGACAACATTAACCAAAACCCCAAGCCCGGCACCGCAAAGCATGGGAAACTCGGGGCCTCCTGTCCATCCGAAGAACTCGGCAGGGACGTCGACGCGTCGGCTTCCCCTGGGAACGGGCTTTCGTGCCTGTCTGAGCACGAAGCTCCAGTGAAATTCGGAACCCGGGCTTCTAAACCCACGGCCTGAAACAGAGAAGCCTTCGAAGCTTTACCACTTGAAGCGGCAAACCCAGGCTTCAGCCCCTGGGTGGAATCTCTGGACCTTGACCCATCCTTTTAGGAGAAGTCCTCTGCCATCATGGAGTACTCGAGTACTCGCCCGAAGCCCTATAGCCACGAGCTACCATAAATACGCTGATTTTGAACCGAGCCCCTATTTTTTCAATAATAATGAAAGAAAAAACAACAACATCGAGATATTGCGACTTAAGGTACATTTTCGCAAGCTCAGGGAAGTCCGTTCCTTCCCAATTCCATCCAAAACTCTAAAACGATCCAAAGCGACACCCGATCCGAGAACCCTAAACCCCCTAAACCCCTAAACCCCCTAAACCCCTAAACCCCCTAAACCCCCTAAGCCCCTAACCCCCCCCTAAACCCCTAAACCCCTAAACCCCCTAAGCCCCTAAACCCCTAAACCCCCTAAGCCCCTAAACCCCTAAACCCCCTAAGCCCCTAAACCCCTGAAACCCAAAAGCGAAACGACCCTCAATCCGATGAGCCCCTGGAGCCGGGAGCCCGTGCTTCGGGAGCTTCTGGGCTGAGCTCCGAATCAAACCTTCTTCTTTGTACTTGGAAGGGCAGGCGACTTAGTAAGTAGGTTATAAGTAGGGCTATAATTGGGGTAACTCCATTTAGGGTACTTATAACTCTACTTAAAAGCTACTTACTAAGTCCCCAGCCCTTCCAAGCAGGGTTTAGGGGTTAGGGACTATAAGGTTTAGGGCTTGGGTTTCGGGGTTAGGGATTATAAGGTTTAGGGCGTAGGGTTTCCGGATTAATAAGGTCGGGATGAAAAAGAGTATAAGGTCTAGGGCCTAGGGTTCAGGGACCGCAAAGGAAGCCCCTAAGCCTGAGCCTTGAGGTTTGGGACGGTCGGGCGTGTTCCCGAAACCCTCAAAACCTTGGCCAGTTTAGGTTTACGGATAGAAGGCCGTAGGCCTCAAAGGTTGAGGTTTGAGGATCGAAGGGTTTCAGGGTCTTGCTTGGAAGGGCAGGGGACTTAGTAAGTAGGTTCTAAGTAGGGTTATAATTGGGGTCACTCCATGTAGGGTACTTATAACTCTACTTATAACCTACTTACTAGGACAGGAACCCCGCGACCGGCCGACCCGTTCCTATACTACTGAAGGGTGGCTCTTCACAACATATCGCAAAGTCGAGTGGCAGTCGGGTCGCAGATCTTCAGCGGCCGCAGGGCGCCAGCGTTTCTGCCTTTCGTCGCGGCACTTCTGGCTCGCGATCACAAATCCTAAACAGAACGTACTTAGTGCTGTACGTGCCGGCCGTGAGGCACCATACATTCCCTAAGCACCTTGCGTTCATACTTCCGAGCTTCAAAGGCCGCTGACTGCTGCCGGGCTCCTGTTCTCACTCAGTCGATTGCTCCGATTGCTGCTCTTGTGGCTTTTCCAGAGCATCGGTCGCGGCCAGTGCCTCTGCTTCCGACACACCCGCCGAGAATAGGTGAACCTTCAACCCGATCTGGGGCCACTTCTTGATCAGATCAGCATAGGCCGGCAGAGTGAACACCTGGCCGGAATGATCTTTGATGAAGGAGAGACATGCCTTCTCCAGCTTCTTCGCCTGAAGCAGATGCGCTTGGCAGAGGATTCCACAGACCTGAGCGGTGTTCATTTCCTTGCAAAGCATAGCCTCACACCACAGCTGAAGCCGCCTCACCTGATACTTGTTGCTTATGGCCAGAAGCGCCTGAACCCGTGACAGCTTGAGGCTGTCGCTCTCCTCCTCGTCGTTGCTTGAAGTCTGTGCGGGTCCGAAATCCTTGACCTCTGGAAAGCGGTCAGTGTAAAGAAACTGCAAAAAAGCCTTGAAGGTGCCCACATCGCAGTCTTCGATCACGATGACTTTGGAGAATGTCTCCTGCATGCCTGTGGTGAGTTGCTTGCGGAACACCTCGGACCGCGCACAAAGGACCTGCGAGTGTGCTTGGATCACCTCGTCCTGCACCATGAGCTTGACATCGCTGCACGTGCCCTCCTCCAAGAGCGCCCGTGTGTCCTCAAGGATGGTCGGCTCGGGAACCTCTTCAGCAAGGCTCAAGGGCTGCGTTGTTTCGTCTCCTTCAGGCCGAACTTCGAGCTCGTACTTCAAAGTCAGCGTGTCGTTCTCCACCCATTCCGACGCCAGCAGCTCCTCGTGGCTCAGGCCGAAGATGCCCAGTGACGCGGGACGATGACCCGGCCAATGCACATCGGGGCCATATACACCCAACGGATTTCTGTTGCTGTGGTGGACGACATCGCACGTCTCGCCCCACTGCACGAACTCACCGTTCCGCGCCTTGATGTAGATGCGATACCGAAGCGCGATGCACTCCCTCGAAAACAGCGATATGGCGAGAGATCCATTATGCTGCTGAACAAGGCGGTCTGCCCACGGGCTATAGAAAAAGTCGAACTCCTCGCTGCCAATTTTGAATGTGTCGGAGACGATAAAGTCCTCTTGCTGCTGCATCAGCATGCATTTCAACCAGGAGAAGCCTGTGATTCTCCAGACGTAGTTGCCGCTGGCCACCATGCCTGCACAATTAGTGATGTTTCCACTGCTTGCTTGCATCACAGGTGGCTCTTTGCGGCGAGGCAGAAATCCGCTCCCAGGCGGCCCGGATCTTTCAAGATGGTCAAGGCGTTGTCGAAAGGCCATTTCACGCTTGTTGCGCAACTCTGCATCTTCCAGCCTGCCCTGCACCCCGTCCAGCCGGTTCCGAAGCCTGAGCCGCTCTTTGGCCTGCTCGGTCTCGGCCTGGAGCTGCTGGAACCTCGCCTCCTCGGCTTCCACCCGCCGTTCGCGTTCCTGGATCGCGGCTCGGAGCTCCTCGGTGGACATCGACCGCGGGTCCTCCATGGCAAAAGTGGCGAGAAGTGGTCGAGGCAGGCCTCTGCCCAGAGAAAGCTATCTTCAAAGTGGAGACAAAGTGGCTGCAGCGGAGCGATGAAAGCACCAATCCAGCATCCTAAGCCCTCGGATCCTTAGGCCCCGCATGCGAAGGACGACCGCAAGAGCTGGGAATGGCTCCCCTACTACCGATGTCTCAGGCAGGTTGGGCAGTCACAGCGGGCTGTGTCCCCAGGTATACAATCTTGCACTACAAAAGCTCTTCTGAAGAAAACTGAAAAGGCCCCCAAAGCATTCAAGTGAAACCTGGCAAGGCGCCATGAAGACCTTAGAGCAACCCAAGCCCTAAGCCCTGCCTGGCTGTTCTTGGGACCTTTAAACACACTAACACTCAAATCTCATCCTACTAACCCAGAAACGAAGTGCAAGGAACGCCCCAGTAAACCCTAAACCCCTGCACCTGCAAGATGTGGCCGTGCACAGCTGTGGTTTTGACCAGGTTAGGCTCCCTGCGGCGACAGTGTGAGCGACTCTTGGCTTGAAGTTTAGGGCGTCAGGGACATGGGTTTTACCGACCTACGGGTTTAATTTAGGTTCTTGTCTTGCAAGTCCTCATTTAGGGTTCAAATCCAGGCATTTTCCTTGTCCCTTTGCATCTCCCCAATGAATTGTACCTAAACCTTTTTTGTAGAGCAATCATCTGGCTTTCAGTATGCCCAAACAGAATCTGCAAATGGGCTCGCGCCGGTCGCATCCAGCTTTGAGCAGAGGCCGCACCATTGTGTGAAAGGCTTTGAGCTTCGGGCTGATAGGTAAGTTTTGCAAATTAGGGTCCCTGTTAGAATCCTTTGTATCAGGGTGCTGTACTACTTTGGGGGACCTAAATGGTACCCTGATTTAGAGAACTATCCATATCAGGCCCCTAGGACTGCAGGGTTGCGATCGGGATTCGCGCCTAGGGCCTACAGGGTCTCGTGGAAGGCCTACATGCACGACGCGTCAACACGAAGCAAAGCACTAGAGATACAAGGCTCAAGGACGCTGGGCTCCAAGGTCGGAGTCGCTGGTAGTTTGAGGGGTCCCTTGCGTACTTAGCAAGGCTATAAGGCTCAAGGTTTCGGACCCGAGGTGAGGGAGATATGGAACTCATAAGGGCATTTCAGGGGGCATGGTGGTAACGGAACCCTCAGCCTAAGCTACGACTGCTGCGGGTGTAGGATTTAGGGTTTGGCCTCCCGGCACATCGAATCGGACTTTGGGTTTGTAGGGCTGAGAGCTTTGGGACATCTCGGCCTCCCCTCGAGAACCTCGCCCGCCCTTCGCTACATCGCACCTTGGAACCTGACCCCTCGAATCGCGAACGCCAATGAAGCACCATACGCTGCCTTTACATCTTTAATGTTTCAGCTAGGAGCTGCACGGCACGGGTCTAAGCCCCAAACCTGTCATGATCTTGTACACCAGAGTCCATACTCGGGCCTCCAGCACAAGACCCGGGCCGTCGACATTCCCGGCTTCCTCGGAACGTGCTTTTCAGTCCATGCCCGTCCGAGTTTGAACCGGAGCTTCACATCACCGAAGAACCCGTTCTGTGGCAGTTTCACGTGGCTTTCGGGCTGTCAATGTGAGGTTCCGGGTTTCAAGGTCTGCAGAGTCCCCCAAAATATGTAGCCTAAACCTAAACCCCTAAACCCCTAAACACTAAACTCTGAACCCTCTATGCAGGAACCCTACGAAAAATGGGCTTTGGTCACTTACGGCAGCGCTTCCGAAGGTCTCTGATGGCGAACCGAGCCCTGAAGCCTCAAAGCTGAGAACCCTGAACCCGAAGGCCCCAACGGGATCCCGAAACTCCATCCTAAATCAGAAGAAACTCTCTGAAAAGCTTAGCTTTGGGCTTCGTGCAGCAGTTAGCGGGGGCCTCATCAGGGCTATGGGTTTAGGTTGCCGGGTTGTTGCAACTTTGCGGGCCTTTTCCTGAATCTACAAATCTTCAACACCTACAAAACCCTAGCGAAAAAGCCTCGAAGCCTCTCAAAGCAGGTCCAAAATCGATTTCGCCGAC